TCACAGGCCACATCTTCAGGTCCAGCATAGCAGTGGTCAGCAGGAGCAGCTTGGAGTCCAGTCTTCTTCAGCTGCTCCACTAAAGCTGCTAACATGGTGTTTTTCTCCAGGACAGGCCTCGGTATGAAGCTTTTCCTGCATTGAGGGCAGCTGTGACCTCCCTTCTGATCCTCTCCATCAAAGTGGGCTTTGATGCAGCTCATGCAGTAGCTGTGTCCACAGGGAATAGTCACCGGGTCCTTCAGGACATCCAGGCAGATGGAGCAGGAGAAGGTTTCTGTGTCCAGCTGAACTCCTTTCTGAGCCATTTCTGCTGTCAGTAACTGTTAAACAGTTAAACTTTTCCCTGAACAGAACCGATCTGTGAGCTCCGAAAGACGACAGACTGACAAGCTGAGGCAGGAAATGAGGCTTTCCCGTCACACCCTTCCTTATGAGAGCTCAGTGGGGGGGCGGGACCGAGGATAACTAACCCAACAGGTTTCTCCAGAGGCAGGGTGTGTACCTTTCGGTTCACATTCCTCTAACTCGGTTAAAGTTCACTCATCTGGGGTGTCAGTACAGCCAGCAGCAAAGGCCCTGGGAAGGCCAAAAATCGGGCCCAAAACATGGGCAGCTTCTGGAGCTAATCGTTTGGCCCCACAATCTTCAATAAACCGCATTTGAACATTAAACGGGTCACGAAAGACGGGCCTCCAAACTATTGGAGCCACAAGGCCTGATCTCGCACCGTTTGGCTGTAATCTCGGTAGACGTTTTAGCAATAATCAGAAAAATCCCCAAACCTGCCCTCCACTCTGGTGACATCATCACAGGCTGTAACTTTCCTGTGGGGATATTTACAAAAAAAAATCAGACTCCCGCCTCTCACGACCAAACCGTGGGGCCGAGTGGGACCACAAAGGGCTCAAAATGTAGCTGCGGGTGTCCTCTTTGGGCCAATGTGCACGCTTTTGACCTCGGACGTACGGTTTTCTCACAATCGAGCCCAGAGTACAGAATATCCCAACGGGCTCCCAATGAGATACAATGGAAGAAAAGTGACAAAATTTCATCAACTGCCAAAACGGAGCTAACTTTGAAACTGCCGTAAAAAACAAACAGCTGGGATTGGAGGAATCCCAAATACAGATAAAAGGACACCTGAGATAAAGCAGGTGAACCTGGCGGAGGCTGAGGAGGAGGCGGACAGGATCCTCTGGTGGAAGCACTGATATCCCAGACTGCCCAGAGACTTCAACATGAAACCACAGCACAAGCTCAGGGGACAGGGGGAATATAAATGCTTAGGAGGATTTACCTCTTAAGGAAGATCCTTTTTGCTATGTGTCATCATGCTTACTGTAGAATATCAGGACTGAGGATGTTTAAAAAGTCTAATCAAAGAATAGTGCATTTTCCACAATCAGATTTAGAAAATTGTGGATTGAGATCAGGGAAAATAACAAAAAAACTCCAAAATTTCTGAAGAAATTTTGAGGGGGGCCACCCACTGCCCATCCAGGAACCTGGGGCAGGTCAGCCAATCGATATTTGGGCTCTCTGTAATGTGGGCTCGCGCCTATGAGAGGGCCTGAGGGAGAGACGCAGTGATGGAGGGACCCGGCTGAGCTCTGGGGCCGGCTGACCGAATGTAATTGGTTTGAGAAGGTCGGGGGTGACATTGGCTGAAAGCTTAGAAAAAGACCTACGCAACGAGGTATGACATGGCTGGGTCCGGTCCCGACCCGGTTGGGTCCAATCCCCACAACCAGAACCGAGCTCTGACTAAAGCCCTCTAAGCAGGCTTCGCCCGCCTGGTAACAGAAATAATACATATCTTAAAAAATCACTGAGAGGGGGCTTCGCCCGCCTTGTACCAAAATCAATGTATTAGTTAAATCTTTCTATGCGGGCTTCGCCTGCCTGGAACCAGAAGCATAACCCATCTTTCGTGTCCCGTTCAATGTTCGAATGAGGTCTGTCGGATGCATTCCTATGGGAAAACGCTCGCCACTTTTTCGCCGTTTACTCGGAAACGCCCACTCCTTTTAGAAAGTTATGAAATAGCATGCATGGCTAGGGTCCGGACGCGCGTGCCGGCTTTGGGCCCAAACCGTCGAACCGTGCGGGAGGAGAAGCGGTCCGCGGAAACGGGAGAATTATAAGTGACGGAATAAATATGGCGAAGAGTAATAGGTGGGCCTTGCCGCTGGCAGTGGCCCCCCTAATAAGGCGCGGAATAAGTATTTTGGATAGTAATAGGTGGGCCTTGCCGCTGGCAGTGACCCCCCTAATAAGTATTTTGGATAGTAATAGGGGGGCCTGCCGCTGGCAGTGGCCCCCTAATAAGTCGTGGAATAAGTATTTTGGATAGTTATAGGTGGGCCTGCCGCTGACAGTGGCCCCCCTAATAAATATGGCGAAGAGTAATAGGGGGGCCTGCCGCTGGCAGTGGCCCCCCTAATAAATAAGGCGAAGAGTAATAGAGGGGCCTGCCGCTGGCAGTGGCCCCCCTAATAAGTCGTGGAATAAGTATTTTGGATAGTTATAGGTGGGCCTGCCGCTGGCAGTGGCCCCCCTAATGATGGAAAGGAGTCACGAGTTCTGCATAAAGGGCCCTCTTCCTCTCCTGGGCTTCCTCTATTCTGTCCTCCCAAGGAACAGTTAGTACCGCCTCTGGAAAACTGACATATTTTTCTCCTTTTTGAGTAAAATTGGCACATAATTCTGGAGGTTTGTTCATAAATCTCACAAACGAACACTTCAACCCCATTCTGTCCAGTTTTTCTGCGTCTGTCAGAGCTGGAACAGAGCTGATCCAGGAGGTGAACCTCATTCTGGAGCAGAAGCAGAACTCTGGTTCTCTGGACTCTGGGGGATCAGATGTTGGAGTTTCTGTCAGAGTTTAGGAACCAGAGCAGGAAGCATCCGGCTGCTTTCAGCCCAAACTGAAAAACTCAGTCAGGACTCAGCAGAACCGGGTCAGACCGTCTCCTGTATATAAAAACAATAAATAAAACACTTTATTCTGGTGTTTTCCTGTTTTATTTGAGTGTTTTCCTGCTTTATTCAGAGTTTTTATGTTTTATTTGAGTGTTTTCCTGTTTTATTTAATGGTTTTTCTATTTTATTTAGTGTTGTCTGCTTTATTCAGAGTTTCTATGTTTTATTTGAGTGTTTTCCTGCTTTATTCAGAGTTTTCATGTTTTGAAAGTTTTTATGTTTTGAGTGTTTTTCTGCTTTATTTAGTGTTTTCCTGATTTATTTGAGTGTGTTCCTGCTTTATGATATTGTTTGTCTACTTTATTTGAGTGTTTTCCTGATTTATTTGAGTGTGTTCCTGCTTTATTATATTGTTTGTCTGCTTTGTTTGAGTGTTTTCCTGATTTATTTGAGTGTGTTCCTGCTTTATTATATTGTTTGTCTGCTTTATTTGAGTGTTTTCCTGATTTATTTGAGTGTGTTCCTGCTTTATTATA